CAGGTACTCCCCAGTTTAAAAACAAGTTCCATTCCCAAGGTCTGTCCTTAAGTCGAATTTGCACATAGGCTGGAACAGTATTATTGTATAATACTGTAGAAGTAGTATTGTGCAATGAACGTGAACCATTGTATATTTAACCTGAATCATTGTGTATTTAACTCAAATTTTGCTACAATAGGCTCCATTCTTAATTATGGGTCATCTATAACCTGGGCCTTCTTGATCCAGGGACTACCTGTAAATTTTTTGCGAGGACTTTAAACAGAAATATACAAAAGTGGAAATATTGATGTGGAAATATGAGAAAACCTCTTTACACCTGAAAAGTTGTTATGTTATGAAAAGCAAAATATGCAAGATTTGTCCATTTCATTTAGGAGCTAAATGAATTATGAATAAGAGGTTTTAGATTTTCAAGATTTCTGGCAAGACCCAGTGTGTGAACTATGAATAACCAAACCAAAATCCAAGAGTGAATTGTGAGGCTGTACAGAACTAAAAAGTGCACGCAGCTATATGTACACTCTGAATGGCTCAACTGAGCAGCTCAGAATGCTGGAATTAGTTCTTATTAGATAGTTTAAACTTTGGCAATTCTTTTACTGTGCATTTCAAAAAATCAACCAGTCTATAGTAATTTTACACATCAAAAATTGATGCATGACAATAAATTATTTGAATTTATCTTTTCTGTTTACATTTGCAATACTTCTAAAACAGATGAATGTATTTATTTTGCTCTGTGCTGTCTTGGCCCAAAGAGGTTTTCTTATATCCAAGTGCAATACAATTTCACCTTTCACTGAATTCTGTTTCCTACTGATAAAAATGAGCAACATCTACTCATTTTATAGGTCATCTCTAATCATTTTAATTTACTGTATGTCAAAAAGTATGGCACTTTGTTTACTGATTTTTTTTCACATACTTTTAATGACTACTTTTTACTAGACATTCTGTCTAGACATTCTGTTTGAGTGTGAAAATACACAAATAAGTAGGTGGTTCTTGGAGACAAGGAGAGGGAAACTGCCACAACAGAAATGTTACATTGGACCAAGAAAAGGCTGTCCTATATAACAGGGTTCCTCAACCTTGGCAACTTTAAGATGGGTGGACTTCTGGGAGTTGAAG